GAACTTTATGGGTCTCCATCGTCTTGCCGGGTCTCATCAGCAGAGATAGGCTCGTCAACCAAACACTGACACACGAATTCGCAGGGGAAATAGGGAAGAGTACACTCTATATATATTTTAAAAAAATAACACGCCGTAGGGCTTTCGCGACCAATATTACCCGTGATAGAAGTTTTTTTTTTGGGTTAGATCGTGTAAATATAAATGCGTTGTTAAACCCGCCACCACCCGCCACAGCAATTATCAAGGTTTAAAACGTAAACAAAACAAAAACGGGAGACTGTATATACATAATGCACGTACATACATCGATTATGTATGTTGATTAACTGTGACTAACCCAAGCAATAATAGATATCCATTGTAATTCATATTACTACATTAACCCCCCCCCCCCCTAGTCTTCGCACCTGATTGGCTCACAAATGACGACATCATATTTATCCCTCTGTTGAAGACCGAAACAGGATTCCTTCACAATTCTGGCTGTCGCCTGATGAGGCTGGTTATAATTACCGGCGAAACGTCGTACTCCAGTTGTAATTGTTGTGGGTTTACTCTCCAACACAACCGGTGTGCTGAACTAGCAACTAATTGGCACGTTTTGTTTACGTGACTAACCTTACTAATTCTCCGTGTCGGATAGTGTGGCAGGTTTAAAGACACTTTCATATTTACGCGATCTAACCCCAATAAACACCTCTGTTACCCATAAAAAAACCAACTATGAACTAAGTTAAGTTTGCACGTGTTACCCATAATGCTCTGGGGCAGAGGTCAGGCAAACCTGTGGCTCGAGAGCCGCATGCGGTGGCTCTTTGTGGCTTCCTCCTTGCGGCTCCCTTGCGGGCAGCCGTTGTTTTTTTTAAATATATAAACGTACATCTTAAAAAACACAACTTAACGTAAAGCTACTTGATTCATTACGGCAGGGAATGGGTCACTGCGGAATCTCTTTGTGACAACGAAACGTACACCAAACGGTGTTCTTAAAGAATAATTGAGGGGAGGCAAAACAACTAAATAAACGCAGTTCATTCCATCACCTATTTCGTTTATTTAAGTCAAAAATGTTTTTGTCACCTGCTGTATATGTGCCGTGTGTGTGTGTGTACAAGTAGGTCTGCGTACAATGCGCACGATTACTATTTTTGGTCATAGACCAAAAAATAAAAAAATGTATCTTCGCATACCTGTCAACCCCTTATTAGTGCCTACTTTATTACAGACCAATTCACACCTTATCGCTTGATAAATAGCGATCGGGAAACGCCAGCAGGCTGACGAACTAACACACATTTGTATTTAAATGTGGTGGGGGCAGGGGCCAAAAAACTCAATATCATGTCCATCTCCAACATTAATATACTCCAAATACGCACCTTCATCTATGGATACACGTACCTCCGTGACATCGTACCGAAACCCTTAAAAGTATTAAGGGGCCGTCCATAAATCACGTCACGCGATTTTGGACAATAAATTGACCCCCCCCACTCGTCACACGGCGTCACAAAAAGTCAGACCCACCCCCCGCAAATATGACGTCACAAAGCTCTGCCCCCCCCCCCAAAAAAAAAGAATCATGCTTCAAATCGCTTTAAACTATTGTCATTGTAGTGCGTATTTAATGTGGCGCTGCACACTGATGTTGTAGGAGAAAACATTTATTAAAAAGTCTATTTCATTAAGTAGAACGTGTTGTCTATATTTATTTAAAGTTGCGCATTTTTATGTGACGTCACATTTCTCAACACCCCCCCCCCTCGTCACACATCGTAACAAACGTCTGACCCCCCCCCCCAGATGCGTGACGTCATTTATGGGCGGCCCCTAACACGAGACACTCCGATAACACTGGTCTACAATTTTTTATACGTAGTCTGCTTCAGAGATGAAATGTGCTGTTTATTATGGCTTTTGATGTGCTGAATTAAAATATGACCATTAAAACAACTGATTGGCTACTGTTCCCAAGATATTAAAGTTTTTTTTGTTTTACATTTTACATCTATGTATATTGTGTCGATAGTAGAGTTTTATTCATAAATTGTAAACCTAGGTCTTTTCATGTTTATGGTTGCTTTACATGATAACGTCACCTATTCTGTTCATGTAACACTTAAAAAAATCAGCAAAAGGGTTATATCAATAAAATGCATTATGAAACAAAAGGCAAAAAACCCGATTATGTATATATAAGTACAAAGTTTAGTCCTTATCCAGTGTCTACTCGGCGCTACTTGGCTTGTCTCTTGTATTAATTGCATGGAGCATCTCTCGTCACTGTCCAGTAACCTTCACCCTCCCCAACACGCAAAGTCAATTCTCTATCAGACGCAGAGGTTCCGTTACTCTGGAATGCCTATCTTCACACTGCCAAAATATCATCATCCCTCAACAACTTCAAGCATAGACTACGGGATCAGCCTTATGAGCCAAACAACCTCGGATTCTCACCCACGTGCAGTGACGTATATGAAGTCACCATGCTGGTTGGCGCCGGCTACTGCCATAAAGGTGGAATTGTAAGTCTTGAGCTTCTCTCTGGCACCGGAGCGGCTATGGTATGGAAGCGAGCCCTAGAGGGCGTGGTTCGGAGAAGTTTTCAGTTTTCAGTTCAGTTCATTGATTAGGTAGAGCCCGGTGAGCCATGCGGCTCTTGACTCGGGTGCAACCGCAACAAACAAAAACATGGGCAAGAAAACATCTTAAAAGTGACTACGCGCAGCAGAAAAATCCAGGAAAACACAGAAAAGTCTTCCAGTCTACGTGACTTTACCGAAAGAACCAAAGAAGATGGATCCTTGCAGTCACGAAAGCTTTAAATCGAAATCTTACAGAAAAAGCACCGTATATCAACGCTGTGTGCAAAAAAATCCCAGTGGGATGCAAGTCAAACAATAACAACCATAAGACAAATTTTGATTTAAAGCTTTCGTGACTGCAGGGATTCATATTATTGGTTCTTTCGGTAAAGTACGTATAAGGGAAACAATAAAATAATAAAAATTATAAAACAATAAAATTATTACGACGTTTCGACTGCAACACAAACAACCATCGTCAGGTGTAAAAACCACAGCAGGATAATTTTCTTGCTGTGGTTGGGGCCCCGAAACATGAATGACCAGCGCGGCGGCGGCGGGGGCCCCGGAGCATGCATGGATAGCGCGGCGGCAGTGGGGAGCCCCGGGACATGCATGGACAGCGCAGTGGCGGTGGGGGCCCCGGAACATGCACGGCCAGTGCGGTTGCGGTGGGGGCCCCGGAAGATGCACGGCCAGTGCGGTGGCGGTGTGGGCCCCGGAACATGCACGGCCAGTGCGGTGGCGGTGGGGGCCCCGGAACATGCACGGCCAGTGCGGTGGCGGTGGGGGCCCCGGAACATGCACGGCCAGTGCGGTGGCGGTGGGGGCCTCGGAACATGCACGGCCAGTGCGGTGGCGGTGTGGGCCCCGGAACATCCACGGCCAGTGCGGTGGCGGTGGGGGCCCCGGAACATGCACGGCCAGTGCGGTGGCGGTGTGGGCCCCGGAACATGCACGGCCAGTGCGGTGGCGGTGTGGGCCCCGGAACATGCACGGCCAGTGCGGTGGAGGTGGAGGCCCCGGAACATGCACGGCCAGCGCGTGGGCGGTGTTGGGCCCCGGAACATGCACGGCCCGTGCGGGGGCGGTGGGGGCCCCGGAACATGCACGGCCAGTGCGGTGGCGGTGGGGGCCCCGGAACATGCACGGCCAGTGCGGTGGCGGTGGGGGCCCCGGAACATGCACGGCCAGTGCGGTGGCGGTGGGGGCCTCGGAACATGCACGGCCAGTGCGGTGGCGGTGTGGGCCCCGGAACATGCACGGCCAGTGCGGTGGCGGTGGGGGCCCCGGAACATGCACGGCCAGTGCGGTGGCGGTGTGGGCCCCGGAACATGCACGGCCTGTGCGGTGGCGGTGTGGGCCCCGGAACATGCACGGCCAGTGCGGTGGAGGTGGAGGCCCCGGAACATGCACGGCCAGCGCGTGGGCGGTGTTGGGCCCCGGAACATGCACGGCCAGTGCGGTGGCGGTGGGGGCCCCGGAACATGCCCGGCCAGTGCGGTGGCGGTGGGGGCCCCGGAACATGCACGGCCAGTGCGGTGGCGGTGGGGGCCCCGGAACATGCACGGCCAGTGCGGTGGCGGTGTGGGCCCCGGAACATGCACGGCCAGTGCGGTGGCGGTGTGGGCCCCGGAACATGCACGGCCAGTGCGGTGGCGGCCCCGGAACATGCACGGCCAGCGCGTGGGCGGTGTTGGGCCCCGGAACATGCATGGCCAGCACGGTGGCGGTGGGGGCCCCGGAACATGCACGGCCAGCGCGTGGGCGGTGTTAGGCCCCGGAACATGCATGGCCAGCGCGTGGGCGGTGTTGGGCCCCGGAACATGCACGGCCAGCGCGGTGGGGACCCCGGAACATGCACGGCCAGCGCGTGGGCAGTGTTGGGCCCCGGAACATGCACGGCCAGCGCGTGGGCGGTGTTGGGCCCCGGAACATGCATGGCGAGCACGGTGGCGGTGGGGACCCCGGAACATGCACGGCCAGCGCGGTGGCGGTGTTGGGCCCCGGAACATGCACGGCCAGCGCGGTTGCGGTGGGGACCCCGGAACATGCACGGCCAGCGCGTGGGCGGTGTTGGGCCCCAGAACATGCACGGCCAGCACGGTGGCGGCCCCGGAACATGCACGGCCAGCACGGTGGCGGTGGGGACCCCGGAACATGCACGGCCAGCGCGTGGGCGGTGTTGGGCCCCGGAACATGCACGGCCAGCACGGTGGCGGTGGGGGCCCCGGAACATGCACGGCCAGCACGGTGGCGGCCCCGGAACATGCACGGTCAGCGCGTGGGCGGTGTTGGGCCCCAGAACATGCACGGCCAGCGCGTGGGCGGTGTTGGGCCCTAGAACATGCACACGGGCCCACAGCGAGCACGTGGTGCGGCGGGCGGAACTGACATTGGCTTGACCAATGCGCGGTCCGGGGCCCCCCCTGTGTGTGTGTGTGTGCTACACGTGTGCGGGTGGCGTGGGGCGTTGTTGTTACCACCACTGAGCACCAGCACCAAGCCAGCAAGCACCACCGTACCTACAGCCTTAAGGGCGACCGCAGCAGAAGCAGCGGGCGATATTTGAAGTTACAGTCGCTCAATTGTTATTAATTTCCCCTACAACGAGCACAACGCAAATAAATGGACGTGAGCGCTCGCGACTCGTCGTTCGCGAACAATAGCAGCGGCATCGGCGGTAACAACGCGGAGAACAACAGCTGGACGAAGAAGAGGAACGCGTTGAACGATGACCACCGCCGCGGTGGCGGTGGCGGCGACGACGACGCGAGCGACGAAGCGTCGTTGAAGCAGATGAAGCTCTGCGTCGATGACCTGGGCCGCCAGCTCAAAGTTCTGCGGCTCAACGATCAAATACGCGAGCTGCAGACCATCATTCGCGACAAGTGAGTTAGTTCGCGCACGCTGTGTGTTTTGCTCGTCGACATTGAGCCCACTTGTGTTTAAAAAAAAATACTAACAAACAAAAAAATCCACCGCTGGATGACAGTCGACTCCGTCCCCCGTCCACCCCTTCACCGTGTCCGGTGACCCCCGATGGGGACTTTTTCACCATCGCTGATCCGTGCGGGTTTCAAAAGGGCGGAGAGTTCCTTGCCACCTTGACCGGGTTTCAGATGTCACAGCCCCTCGCCGCCGGCGTGAATTGGTCGTGGTTGGGGGTATCGAACTCTGTGCCTTTCGTTGCCGGCTTCATTAGCGACAGTGCGCCGACCTGCAGTACCACCGCTCTCCTCGCCCTATCTCTCATGTACAGTTGTAACTGTGTTTTGATTTAAAGCTTTCGTGACTGCAGGTTATTCATACTCTTGGTTCTTTCGGTAAAAGTCACCACGTAGGAGGGAAACAATAAAATAATAAAAGCAATAAAATTGTCAGTGAGAATTTTATTGTTTTTTTTTTAAATGATTTTATTTACCGAAAGAACCAAGAATACAGTTGTACTGTACCCAACGCGTTTCCACGCCACCGGCAAAAGCACATTCCACGTGCGGTGAACGTTGCGGTAGCTACAAAGCGATGCTCTTCTCATTCTTAAGACGAGCCTATCGACAAAAAAAAACAATAACTTGCCTGTAAGATGTGTATCGCACTGTCTGGGTCGTATACCGTTACACATCCACATACCGAGAAAGTAAAAGGTTTAATTCCTGTTGTACGGGCGTCCCGGACTCTTCGACACGAGCCTGACTCTTCGCCGACGATTAAAACAAAAACAACCCCAAAAAAAACACTTCGATAATAAAAAAAAGTCGCGTTCGGAATGCGGCGCCAACTGGGCCGTGAATTCAGAAGCGGTTTGGCTGGAGCTGTTTGAAGCGCACTGCGGCTTATGAAGCCCCGGGGCGACAGGCGGGCGTGATGAGTTCGATTCGACGGGCACGCCTAGGTGATGTTTTTTGACACTTTGTCTGGGCCCACCCATCGTCTCGCCAAACCCACGTTTGACCACGCCAAACCCGCGTTTGACCACGCCAAACCCACGTTTGACAACGCCAAACCCCACGTTTGACCACGCCAAACCCACGTTTGACCACGCCAAACCCCACGTTTGACCACAGCAAACCCACGTTTGACCACGCCAAACCCCACCCTTGACCACGCCAAACCCGCGTTTGACCACGCCAAACCCCACGTTTGACCACGCCAAACCCACGTTTGGCAACGCCAAACCCCACGTTTGACCACGCCAAACCCACGTTTGACCACGCCAAACCCACGTTTGACCACGCCAAACCCACGTTTGACCACGCCAAACCCACGTTTGACCACGCCAAACCCACGTTTGACCACGCCAAACCCACGTTTGACCACGCCAAACCCACGTTTGACAACGCCAAACCCACGTTTGACCACGCCAAACCCACGTTTGACAACGCCAAACCCACGTTTGACAACGCCAAACCCACGTTTGACCACGCCAAACCCCACGTTTGACCACGCCAAACCCACGTTTGACCACGCCAAACCCACGTTTGACCGCGCCAAACCCACGTTTGACCGCGCCAAACCCACGTTTGACAGCGCCAAACCCACGTTTGACCACGCCAAACCCACGTTTGACCACGCCAAACTCACGTTTGACCGCGCCAAACCCACGTTTGACCACGCCAAACCCACGTTTGACCACGCCAAACCCACGTTTGACCACGCCAAACCCACGTTTGACAACGCCAAACCCACGTTTGACAGCGCCAAACCCACGTTTGACCACGCCAAACCCACGTTTGACAACGCCAAACCCACGTTTGACCGCGCCAAACCCACGTTTGACCGCGCCAAACCCACGTTTGACCGCGCCAAACCCACGTTTGACCACGCCACACCCACGCTTGACAACGCCACACCCACGTTTGACCACGCCAAACCCACGCTTGACCACGCCAAACCCACGTTTGACAGCACCAAACCTACGTTTGACCGCGCCAAACCCACGTTTGACAGCGCCAAACCCACGTTTGACCACACCAAACCCACGTTTGACAACGCCAAACCCACGTTTCACAACGCCAAACCCACGTTTGACAACGCCAAACCCACGCTTGACAACGCCAAACCCACGTTTGACAATGCCAAACCCACGTTTGACAACGCCAAACCCACGTTTGACCACGCCAAACCCACGTTTGACCACGCCAAACCCACGTTTGACCACGCCAAACCCACGTTTGACCACGCCAAACCCACGTTTGACCACGCCAAACCCACGTTTGACCACGCCAAACCCACGCTTGACCACGCCAAACCCACGTTTGACGACGCCAAACCCACGTTTGACAACGCCAAACCCACGTTTGACAACACCAAACCCCACGTTTGACCACGCCAAACCCACGTTTGACAGCGCCAAACCCACGTTTGACCGCGCCAAACCCACGTTTGACAATACCAAACCCACGTTTGACCGCGCCAGACCCACGTTTGACAACGCCAAACCCACGTTTGACAACGCCAAACCCACGTTTGGCAACGCCAAACCCCACGTTTGACCACGCCAAACCCACGTTTGACCGCGCCAAACCCACGTTTGACAACGCCAAACCCCACGTTTGAATTATGATCAAGCAACCCTCCAAACCACGACTTTTGCCATCAGCAAGCAGTGGATTGCCAAGGTTCTGTAGATCATTTCAATGGCACAGGGATTTGTCTTTTTTTCTATTGGTGTACACGCAATGACAGCATTGTAAACAAGCTCCCGGAATGTATGTCTCAGCTGCTTGTGATATTGTGCTATGTAAAAACTCGTGTTGTCACTGGTCGTGGGAAAATGCGGAATTTTCTTAACTGGAAACGAAAACTATTTGACGACAGTACAGTAACTATAAATGCTGATTTCTGTGACCGAGAGGAAAGGAGGAAATGTAATTAATTTATTTATTGGAATGGACTTGTTCAGAAATTCAGGTGCGTATTTATCATTATGATTGCACTTCTTTCGCACCATACGCAGCCAACCGTGCGAATTGGAGGTGCGGGGAAGGACGACAAACTAAACACAACAAAAACAACAAGCAGTTCTCAAGAAATGAGGAGGATAACAGTGTCACTTAAAGGCTCTTTTTGGGGGGGGGGAAGATCTGTAAAAGAATTGCTTCCGTGGGCCGTTCTCTGACACATCGGACACTTTCCTCTGCAATTATTTCCAAACGGATTGTCGTTTGTTTCACGACGACATGACCTCGATAGCGCAACTGGTATTAGCGGAAAATATACTGTACTGGAAATGCTGGGTGGCTTGTACGCATATTTTTGTTCACGGTGGAATGACGAAAATACACGAAATCAAACTTGGCATGTGGTTTCACGTGCACGTATCGTCTGCAAAAGTAGTTAACGCAGTGGCGGGGGGGGCAATGTTGCTGCGTGGCTTTGGCTAATCGGCCAACGTGCGGGCGATTTAATCGTTTTGTCAAATTTATACCACGGCTCTGGCACGCGTGGCCTACCCCTTTTATAGTATAACATCACAAGGTCATTGGCTGGGATGTTAGCTGTCAAGTTAATGATCAAGCTCATCAAGTTCATGCTGCACAGTTTATGGTTAATCACCAACCGTATTAAACGGGGAAGCCACTGGGGTTCGAGCCTCTGCAGCAAACGGCAGGAGTGAAGCGAGGGAGGGTGACTGTGCTTGTAGGGCATTTGTGTTATGCATTTTGCCCTCCCAATGTGTAATTGACCTTCATATTGTGAAGCAAATACATTATGAAATGTATTTATTATATTTATTGTGAAGGCTGATGCAGGCTAATGCAGGCAAATAGGTTTGTGCAGTACAGTAGCTACAGGTGGCAACTGGTGAGGGCACTTGGCTTTACCTTACTGACAATCACAAGGTTTTGAGTTGAACTCTTGGCCGTGGTACGGCTCAGCATACCGGTTTTCAGAAATCAATGAAGTAGGTGGTACCCTATAGCTCCCCGGTGTTTTTTGAGGTTGTACCTCCTGTTTGGCACGTTGTCCGACGTTTCGTGCCGCGTGCCGGGAGCTTCTTAAGCAATTCAAAAAGGAGCGTTTATGGGTTGTGAGGCTCTGGTGTCAATCGGGGTGTGTACATTAACAGTAAACGTTGGCCTCGTGGCCAAATGGGCTGATGTATTGAAATGTCAAAATAGCAGGGAACTATTGTGGCAATGAATATAAACGCGAGAGAAGCAACACGGACGCAGCTCTTCGGTGGGCAGTGACAGCAGCGCCATCTGATGATGAACTCTGGCTTCGTTACACACACACACTGCCCTCCACACATTTCTGACCGTTTTATTTGAGGAAATCGACGCCCGTTTCTTATCAGTATTGAAGTGATGCGAGATCTAACTTTGGTGCCTGTGATCGATGAGTCCCCTGATTTAAACTCTTGAACCGAGGAGTAGGCAACTGCTTGTGTTGTGTCGGGGACCGGAGCTTCGAGATGATAGCATGGTCATCACATTGAGAGGGTTGATGATTGCCATGGTAAATAGATGCAACGGCACCAGCTAAACAACACGTGGTGTGTGAAGGGATGTTGGATGGTGTGAAGGGTTGAGGGGGTGACTCCTAAACTGTGTACATGTTGAACTTCTTTCGCACCATACGTAACCAACCGTTCTAATCGGAGGTAACAAAGGCCACCTAATTTTTTTCCAGGCCTTGTTCTGTCACAGTGCACTGGTAATGTACGTGTTTTTGTCACAACATAAACGACTAGCTTGTTTGCCTGTCCTAGGACGGAAGCTGTAATATTTATGAAAAAATTGAGCAGCTTGTGTAAATTTAATGGCAGTGAATCTGGCACAAAACGAAGTCATAAAACACTTCACTTCATGTCACTGTAGCACTGTATATAACTGACCTTGAATTTGTTCAAATTCACTGCTCTGGTACTTTATTTTCTTCTGCTCTCACTCGCCGAGGTTAAAATAAATTGGAAGTCTATACAACATCTGGAAAATCACCGAGAAATGTCTATTTTACCATAATGTAGAAGCATACATTAGACTAAAATTTTGTCTCAAGTGCTGAAGAAATAAAGACACCAAATCCACTTTGTTGCTGCATAGAATTATTTATTAGATTAACTTTCAATAAAGAAACGTCAAACTTAAAGCGAACTTGCGAAAAACATTGTATTTCCACTCGACCTTCTTCTGCGTGAGTGTAAAAATCCACCCACTCATGAATATTAATGACGGGGGGGTGCGTCATGTGGAGAGTGACGTCACGCGCGTTACACACAAACAGACATTCTTGGCTCATTATAGTAGTAATTCTCATCAGTTCCTGTAGGATAGAATACAGTTCTCAAAATATTCGTAAGGCGAAAACCTCAACCTGTGTAGCTCCGAGTAGTGCCACGCTGTGGAAAGAAGTCGACAACAGTGGTTGTGCATACGGGGGGGGGGGGGGGGGCCGTGGGGGGAGGATGGCTCCGACCAGTCTCTGCCTTCGGGCTGTTATCAGAGATGAGCATCAGCCTGCTGCTCGTGTGAGCAGTGACGCCCTTTGATTGGACTTGAGTAGGTGTTTGTCTGCATTCCAGCCTTGTGCTGGTGGGGCCGTTGAAATGTCAGATTTGTTTAAATTTACTTGAAAGTTAAATGTACGAATCTTGATTTTTTTGTTTCTTATTGCTTAGGCGACTGACGTCGTGTCTTGAGACAGAGCAACCTATTTTTATTTTACCAGATAAGGCCCGCTGAGCTTTGTAGCTCCTTTTCAGAAGCGGCCTGGCCACAAATGATAGCTCAACGAAGTGGCGTATCGTGTGGGAATTTCTAGCAGCCAAATACTCGAAACGCCACGTTGCTTCTGAATGTGGAGGGGAAAAAAACCGAAGGACCCGGAGAAAAATCCACGCGGCCACTGGGAGAGAGAGAGAGAGACGCGCAAACTCCAAATATACAGCAGGCGTCAGGGGTCTGGATAAAGCCCATGACATTATACTCTTACATTGATCGTAATGTTTCTCGCATGACAAACTGGAAAATGGAAATTCTCGTTGGGTGGAATTTAACCAACTGAAACGCAGAACCAAACTTAATGTGATGCTGTTCAGTCGTGCATTCGTTGTTGACGTTGGCGGTGCGCCCTCTGTATTCCGCAGGTCGACCAGCAGAGGGGACTTTGTGTTCAGTGCCGACCGGCTGGTACGTGCGGTGTGCACATGCGCGCGGGGCCTAACGCAAAGCTTGCCGCCCGGGGAGCTTCAAAGCGTTGAAATGTCCACGAGCCAGGGGCGGTAGCAAATAGCAGCAGCAATAAACGACGCTGCCAGCATCGGCAAATAAACGTCAAGGCCCTCTTGGTTTCGTTTGTTACGCTTTATTGAACAAAAGCTAATAAACCAATGCTAAACGATAAATACATCGACGGTCGTTTCGCCGCACAGAAATGTCTTACGAGTATGACAGACTTAGACCTGTATGAGTGTGTGCTGGTGGCAAACCGTACTGTCTTGGTTAGCGCCGTTGCTCTACGAACATGGCGAGCCGAGTTTGATTCCCGCTCGCGACCAACATCGGTGTGAGGAATATCCGAAGGACACCCTGTGGGCGTCCTGTGCCTGCGGTGCGCTCCTCCCGTTGTGCGTGCTCCGCGTAGATTCGCTTGGTCGTGGAAGAGGGCCTCAACCAACTCCCGTACAGCGACTGCACGGTGACCACCCCGACAGGTCAAGTCCTCACCGCTTTGCCGCCCGACCCTCCCTCCAGATATCACTGATAGTCTGGCCACCTGTGAAAAAGAGCTTCATGGGTCATCGAATCAGAATTGGAATATTTATCCTGGAGAAATCCGATGAGCTATGGAGGCCTTTTTTTCACAGATGTCCAGTCGGGGCACTGGGCGGGAAAGTTACAACAACAAATAATATTTACAAAACGATAGGAGTGCAAAGTATCGAAAAGGTAAACAAATCACTAAAAGTAAATGCATAATCTAAAACTAAACTATTTTTATTTTCCAAGGTAAAATCCACTGAGCTATTCTTTTTCAGAAGCGGCCTGGCCATAAATGGTAGCTCAACGAAAGAGCTTTATCACATGGAACTTTATAGCAGCCTCCAGTCTAAAGAAAGATTCTGAGTTGGTTTATAAAAAAACAGGGGAGCACTGGTGGTTACGCCATATAAATGATTCGGCCAGATTTGTGTTGTCAAGACCCTCCACCACCTGCTGCAGCCAAACAATCAAATTATCCACGTGTACTACAAGCATTTAAACGTAATTGGTATTGTTCCAGCGAACTCACCGGTAAGTTGAACAATTCTCACAGGTCATGCTTGGCAGCAATTAGAGACTGAGCGTTTCACTTGAAACCATGTCGCACGTTGTCGTGGCAAGGTCCGTGAAGTCAGGAATAAACACCCAGGAGGTTCTGATGATGCTTGACGCAGTGTCAAGCGAATAGTCTTTATCTAATTACTAATTATGGCTGTGAGAATGTTGCTCAATTCACCAATGAGTGAGCGAAGACAATAACAACTGTGGCTCTGTTACATGCTTGTACACCATGTGACATGTTAATTTGTTTGGCTGTGTTGTCGTGGCCTTGCCCAAAAACATCTATCATAAATCTTGACATTGACAGGGAAAATTCTGCGTGTTATGTTAAAATAACACTTACACATCTTTGCATTTCTATTGCTTCTAAATGCCTCATCATCTCAAAATACACCTGTGTTGTCGTAAAAGGCGCGGTGCGGTCACGTGATGATGACTTCTTACCTCTGCCACCGTGGTCCCCCTTTGTGGTGCAGGTCACAAGTACGAAGGCGTAAAGTTTGAGAAGGGCAACTGTGGCGTGAGCATCATGCGGAGCGGTGAGTCCATTGGGGCTGCGCGGCATCAAACGGGACACAGTTTATTAATTATTTTGTCACACTCGTTTACCCAGGGGGAGCCTCGCTGGGCGCCCACACTCGTGTTTCAGGAGGGTCCTGCTAAGTTTTAACGGTTGGTAGCGGGGGGGGGGGGCGACAGCATTTGATTTGTTAATTTTTGAACTTTGGACCGTGATACCCGGCACACAATACAATGGGCCCCCACTCGTTTGGAATGACATGGCCGGGATCTTTAACGTCCACTACGATGTCCAACCGCAACGACGAGTCGAACCACGACGCCGATGGGCCACGCCGCCGCCCGTCATACGTAACGGTTGCCCCACCCCGATCCCCCCCCCTTCCCCGCACTGTGTAGGAGAAGCCATGGAACAGGGCCTCAGGGACTGCTGCCGCTCAATCCGCATTGGCAAGATCCTCATCCAGAGCGACGAGGATACGCAGAAGGCTAAAGTGTACTACGCCAAATTCCCGCCGGACATCGCGCGCCGGAAAGTGCTGCTCATGTACCCCATCCTCAGTAAGTTTGCAACCGATTTCACCACCCACTGCCAAGGCTCGGATGCTCTACAAACAGCGGTGGGCAATCTGCGTCCCACGGAGCCCCTCCTCGTGGTGGCTCGGTCTAAGTGTTTCTAGGGCAGCTGTCGGTAACCAAAATAACAAGATGAGCCGTTTTTTTACGAATTCGGTAAAAAAATTAATATTTAAAGTCGCAATGCAAGTGAGCATAAGGCGTTCCTTCATGAATAATGTCAAACCATTTTTTCTGCAGTCCCTATTTCAGGAACAGCACACGCACAATCATTTGTAGTGCGGCACTACAAATAATTGTTGGACTTTTAGGCGATCACCGTTTATCGAATGTAATAAGGATTGTTGATTTGTTTTTTACTTTAAGTGGCGGTGACGTCAACACGGCGGTGACGTCAACACAGCAGTTGTGGCAGACCAGGTGCACTTTGAGGCCACGTGAAGTGTTGAAGGCTCGTTGACAGGAAGTCACTGGGATGGACCCAGATGCCATGGGTTGTCTGAGATAACTGGGAGATGTGTAGTGGGTTCTAACCAGGCGCACACCAAGTCTTGGAGGCAACACGTTTATTTACTGACACAACTTGAACCACTAACACAACCAACAATTACTCAACGTTCCAAGGTTGACTATGTACATTCCGGGCAACTATATATTACACTAGCTTAACTACACGGCTTCGCCCGGGACTTGGATTCATCACGCCCGACCGCCTTTGTCTCCCCAATGGCGATGTTCACACACCACACCAGTTAAGCGTTTGAGGCTGAGGCCGAGTTGACCGAGGGGAGGCCCAGGAGCGGTTTAAATAATCGTCACCGGCCGTGAACGGGAATCGAACTCGGGTTGCCGGGTTTTGTAGCGCAGCGCGCGAATCGCTACGCAGTCGCTGCCCCGCCCCCCCCCCCCCACACACAAGATAAAGACAAAGATCCCCCGTATAGCCTGTGAGACTGTAGGGGGCAAGTGCTGTTAGCGAGCACCTATGAAGGGGGTGGGTGACAGCACCATGTCCGGCCGCCTTTGTCCCCCCAGTGGCGATGTTCACACACCACAGCAGTTACTCGTTTGAGGCTGAGTCGAGCTAGGGGAGGCCCAGGATTGGTTCAAATAATCGTCACCGGTGGTGGTGGTGGCCGTGAGCGGGAATCGAACTCGGGTCGCCGGGTTCGTAGCGCAGCACGCGAATCGGTACGCAGTCCCCCCCCCCACACGCAAGATAAAGACAAAATCCCCCGTGTAGCCTGTAGGGGGAATGTGCTGTTAGCGAGCACCTATGACGGCCGGCACGGCACACGAGGGGGTGGGTGGCCAGCACCACGCCCGGCCGCCTTTGTTTCCCCAGTGGCGATGTTCAGACACCACACCAGTTATTTGTTTGAGGCTGAGTCGACCTAGGGGAGGTCCAGTACCGGTTCAAATAATCGTCACTGGTGGTGGCCGTGAGCGGGAATCGAACTCGGGTCACCGGGTTCGTAGCGCAGCGCGCTCACCACTACACTACAATGCGTTACGCTTCCACGTGCGCGGGTCACGTGACAGATTTGACGTCACAGCTCACTTGCCGTGCAAAAAATAAATGCATTATTGAGCTCCCCCCCCCAAAAAAAACAAAAGTGTATTTTTATAATTTTTGCATGGTGTACAGTCTGGAAAGTAACCCACATGGCAAATTTCCAGTTTGTTGCATGTCGGGAAGTAGGCTAAACATTTTGAGACAGACACACATTCAGAACTTTGCCTTTTATATATATGGAGATTACGGGTTAACTGCGTATGGTGGTGGCCACCGTTCCTAACCACTTGAACGGAATCATTATATGGTTTAATCAGAACAGCCGACACGCCGTCCGGTGGTCGTGTGCGGAGACCGAAGAGCGAGGATCGAAGAAGGCGGCTTCGTTCCCGGGTCGACCAGTCCCGCTCCCTCTCGGGACTGGGCTTGTATCTCCTGTGGCGTGACCGGGCTCCGCCCCTGGTCACGCCCCCTTCTCGATCCTTTCGTGGAGGCTCCGGGTCCACATCACGTGGCCCGTTCACCCCCTCCTGGGGGTCCCCGTGCCCCCTCGTCCGGTCACGTGCTCTTGCGGGTTCACACAGACTGTCATGTCCTGACCCGGCCTCCGTGACATCCGGAACCTGCCCTCTAGTGAGCCCCGAGGTGTAGTGCGCCCACTGGCGCCATGGAACGGCTCATTTATGTCCTTACGGATGCACCAGCTGTACGCCGTACTGTGCCAACTCGCTGCATTTTAGCCGCCCGGTGCTCCGCTCGTTGCGAGCGCCAAATGTGCGCACACAAGTTCACACATACACCTCAGTCACTTGTGGCACAGCGAGCATCGGGGGAGGAGGTTTGAGCTCGGGGCCTGTGTGTGCGCGCGTGCATCACAGGCACTGGCAAATACGGTGATCGAGGCGGTCGACTCAGCCTCAAATGAGTACCTGGTGTGGTGTGTAAAAAAAATATCACCACCGGGGAGATGAAAAGTTGGTCGGGCGCGGTGCTGGCCATCAACCGCCTCGTACCATGTCGGCCTTGATAGGTGCTCGCTTAACTGCACTTGCCGCAACAGTCTGTTAAGGCTATATGAGGATCTTTGGCTTGGTTTGTTTTTTGTGCGTGCGCGTCGAAGGCACTGGCAACACGGTGATTGAGGCGGTCAAGGTGCTCATCGAGCACGGGGTGCCCACAAAGCACATCTTCCTCCTGAGCCTCTTCTCCACGCCACACGGTGAGGCCCTCCTATACGTAAAAAAAAAAATACGTGAACAACAATTTGCGTCTAGCTCGAGGAGAGTGCTTCACATCGCACATCTGTCTCGGTCATACCAATAACTGGCTGTAATAGTTTTATTTACATTCATCCCAGTGGGCGCTGCAGGGCGGAGAGCTCAGTCTGGAGCCGGCTCAATGCCCGAGTGATGGGTCACAGCTGAAATCACTGCGCATGCAGCTGCTTCGTCCACATCCCAGCGAGTAAACTTGGTTCGAAGCTTTCGTGACTGCAGGAAGAAATCTTTGTTTTTTTTCGGTAAAGTCACGTTAAATAAGAAATAATAAAATAGCATAATAGCGTACGACGTTTCGGTTGCAACACAAGCAGCCATCATCAGGTCCAGAAGAGCTAAATTTACGAGAGAGGGGAAACATATAACCCCAGATGTATACACAAACACCCAAGTAGGGGGAACTAACACTGTCTGGTATGCTTCTCTCTCTGTGTCCCCTGTTGTATCTGTGTTAGTTCCCCCTACTTGGGTGTCTGTGTATACATCTGGGGTTATGTGTTTCCCCTCACGTAAATTTAGCTCTTCTGTACCCGATGATGGCTGCTTGTGTTGCAACCGAAATGTCGTACGCTATTATGTTGTTATTTTATTATTTCTTATTTATACGTGACTTTACCGAAAAAAACCAAAGATTTATCCCAGGGAGTAGTTTGCTCAACAAAGGGGGCGTTGCCGTGTGGGTGTGACGAGAGTCTGGCCACGCCCTCTACCACATAGCCACGCCCCTTATTGCAGTTAGCTCCACTCTCTGCGCCCCTCCCCCCCCCCTCTCCGGTCCATATCAACGTCGCAAGGAACCGATCTGTACTTGCTTTGCGGTAGAGACCGACTTGCCTCTCGAGCAACGGTCTGCTGGGCGATTTGTAGGTGCGGCGCGTCTCGCCGCTCCGTGCACACGGCGACGAATTGCCGAGGCGGATCGATGCCGAGACGCCCGTGCACCGGGCGACGCGGTCGGGCGCGACCGATGCGGCGGAGCGCTCAATGCCGCGTCTCTGTGCGGTTTGTTGCCGGCAGGAGCGAAGTCGATCATTCAGGAGTTTCCGGACATCACGGTGCTCACCACGGAAGTGCACCCCATCGCCCCGACTCACTTTGGGAAGAAATATTTTGGGACCGACTGAGTTGGGGAAGAGATGGAGATGGAGAGAGAGAGAGAGAGGAGAGTGAGACTCCCCTCATGGCTGCATGTGGTGGCTATGCGCATTTTCGTGACGTTTTGTTTTATTATTTAACATTTTCACATGAACTACAGGGTGATCCGTTTATAGAGGCCCCACCTGTTGTGGCGAGACATTCTTCCCATTCCTCAGTCTTTGATGTGCGTTCATTTATGTTTTTTAATTCGAACCCGCGTCATAGAATATTTTGATTTGATTTGTTCATCGCTTTCCTTTGCAGTGGCACACTCCCCATGCGTCTCCTGCAATAGACGTTGTGCGTGGGGCGGTGTGTGTGGGGAGTGGTCGTGTAGCGTCGGCACGCTGCACTGCAAACGCGGCGACCAGAGTTTGATTTCCGCTCGTGGACAACACCAGTGACGATTATCTAAACTGGTCCTGGGCCCTCCCTATATTGACTCGGCCTCAAATGAGTAACTGGTGCAGTGTATCAACATCGCCACTAGGGAGACAAAGGCGTTTGGGTGTGGTGTTGCCCACCCAGCCGCCCGTTTGCTATGCTGGCCCTCATAGGTGCTACTCGCTAACAGCACTTGTCTCAACAGTCTGTTAAGGCTATGTGGGGGATCTTTGTCTTAAGGGGGTGTGTGAGAACCACAGAACCGTGAATCTCCACCCATGTTTCACTTCTCTGTTCCTCTGTAACATATGGAGCCATTACTACCACAAAATTCAGTCGAGACATCAACTCGTTCATACATTTGACAGTCGTGCCATTCGCCTATAGCGCAAAGCTATCACCAACAGATAGTTGGCAGTAGTTTGTGACCAACAATTTGTCCAAATTATGTAGTGGGAAGAGACCGGAGCACAGAGAAAACCCACACATGCAAGGGGGAAACGCTCTATCCCATGCAAACGGAACATGTGGCGTACAAATTTGCTGTACCACCTCCTGGCCAGCCTGGGAATGGGCGCCACCTCGACACCCACGGGAAGGGAGTTTCATATTGTGTGCGCACGAACCACAAAACCATTGCCCCGTGACGTTAGTTATGAATGGATCGCCCCGTATCCTCCAAAGGTTCTTAATGAGTTTGGTGGAAGGCACAGGAGACTGATGCGCTGTGTGCCAGCATTTGAGCCAGGCACTCGCGTGTAGGTAACGCTCCACCCTTGAACCGGTCATCTGTGACTACCACCCTGCAACATAAACTGCCATTGTAGAAATTAGTTTTGGAAATGATTTTGCTCAGTTTATATGTTTATTAACATTTTATTTTTATTCGTAAATATTTTGAAGGTCGTATATATCTATATTTCTTTTGACTGGCTCTGCAGCGCCTTGAAACTAAAAACTGATTTGATGCAAACGTCAAGCCCCGCACTCCCACCGATAATATAATCCAACCAAGTGGATTAATCTCTCGGAAAGGTTTGTTTGTGTTGTGCTCTCGACCGACTACGACTGCCCTGCTACTCTTTGGGGTTTACTGCCCAGATGCTGTTTTGCCACACCGTAGGAGTTTGCGAGGCTTGTACAGATGCCGCTGCTGGTTGAGGATTGCAATAGTGAGCACAAGTGGGGGAGGTTACAGGGCAAGTAGTCTTTGCGTCTCGGGGGGGGGGCGGGGGCGGGGAGAGTGTGACACCCAAGTGTCAAACTCGAGCCAGTGTGTCTTAACGCCACTTTTTTCCCCAACCACTGGCGCATCCGAGCAGAGCCAGCGCAGCTCAGGCGGGTTTTTTTTTTCCCCTTGCTGCATATTTGCCAAGCAGACACCAAGGCTTGCTAGCGATGGCCACACGAGAAGACGTCCGAATCTAGCTGGTGGCCAAGCAGTTCCCTGGTAGCGGGACTCGTGCGACGTCGGTGCAAACGCGCCATGAGGGATGTAGCATCGCGGTGGCGTCTGCACGCGTCGCGAGCTCATTCGTCGCTTACGACAACGACGATGTCAGCGGCACGGCTCTGCCGTGGAAAAACAACCTGAGCCATGCTCGGCTGGCTTGGCACGGTGACAGTGGTCGTGGAAAAGTCGCAACTTTGTCTTCAAACCAGCAAAATGGGATACTGTACTGGTTTGAAGTACCGTACACAAAGATTGTGACTTACGTGCAATTCATCGATTGTAAAGTCGCTTCTTGCCATCGCGATACATGCATTGGAACGCGTGCATGAGGATCGGTGGTTTACTCGTTATGGAAATGGTGTGCGTATGGCGTAATATTGTTACAATCGGGCTCATGGATGGAGCCGGCAAAACTCCACGAGACGAACGGAATAATAGAAACGAGACCAAAAAATATTGTGTTGAACTGATTGGCAACTTCTGGATTGCAGTTATGCATGGCATTATTGGCTGGCGGTGGAGAAGGGTGGATTATGAAACTCCTACTGTATACTAGAGCTGTACCGATGCATTGATTTATCAATAAAAATCCGTTCTTAACCTGACGATATACATCGAATGTCATTGATTCATAATAAAATGTATAACGCGTGCGGCATTTAACTGAAAAGGTCTTGCAGAGGCACGGAAGACGAACAGCAAAAGTCTTTGGATTTTGACAGGAGAACGATGCCGATGAGCAAGGCGGAGAAAAGAAGGGGAGCTGAGCGCCAGAGGACAGGAGCTGTGACGGAGAACCGACGTTCACCTCGTCAGCTGCGAGATACTTTGGGGGCGAGGGCTCGGCGAGGAGGAGGGAGGGGGGAGGCAGCCGCTTGAGGCCGTTCGGAGGCTCTGTCAACGATGAAACAGCGCAAGAGAAATAGGATGACCTGGAACAAATACTACGTCAACCTGCTCGGAGAAGTAATATTTTAAGTTCACGTTCTTATCGTGAGCCATGGGCTGTCTACTGCTTGATAAAGCCCCCCCCACCCCAAGCTGTGAAACTAAACTGAACTATTTTTATTTTACCGGAATGTGTTAAGTCTCGGCAGATATCCTCCGATGTTTTTCTTTCCAGTTAGGGCCCTGCTGGCAAGGCTGGATTGTTTCGCAAACTACTGAACTAAACGATACTTTTTATTTTTACTAGATAAGGCCCACTGAGCTATGTAGCTCTTTTTTGGAAGTGACCTGGCTATTACAAATTATAGCTCACCGAAGTGTCTTATTACGTGGGAAATTATGGTGGCCAAATACTCTAAACGCATGTTTCTCAAATGTGGAGGGGAAAACCCGGAGGACCCGGAGAAAATCCACGTGACCGCAGGGAAAGAGAGCGAACTCGCAAACTCCACATATACAGCAGGAATCAGGGTGGGGATCGAACCCACGAACTCCTGCATACCAGGCGAGGCAGTTAACATCTCCTAGCCACCGTGGTGTGCCCCTGTCGCCTTCCCACACGGTCTCGTGATGCATCATCAACCCATCCGGATGGTCGACGCGACCTGCCGCATCCACTCCCCGGTGTTGACACTGCGGCCAGCCCCGCTGTACTGCCGTCGCCTGCTTTCCCCACACGGCTCTGGAAGTTCGAGGAGCTCACCCACACGCCCCGAAAACGGGCCTTCGTTCCGTCCAGCCCAAAGTTTCCTCCCGACGCCTCCACTTTTCTCACACCCACCCACACCCCCCCCCACTCAACACATTCGTCAAAATAATGCTGTGTGTGACTTCACACGGAAAGGGTCGCACCTGGGAGGCAATTGCATCGATTCATTTGTGGGGAGTTTGTCGTATGAATTGTGCTCGTGCGCCACTGCCAAAATCATGCGTTTTACTTTCTTCACGCAGGTCAGTGCAGCGTCTTAACGCGCGCGTGGTGGTTCTCTTAATAAGCCAACGTCGTTCCTCTTTCTGTCTCTCCGGGCCCAATTCCCAAACCCACGCATTCTTTTCACGGCTCTCTGTGCACGCGTTTCAGCCTTTTGTCAGCGTCCTCTGATCCCGCGTGCCTACGCTCGTAATCTACGCGGATTAGGAACGCCGCTCTTTAACGACACCGCGGTGTCCGCCTTTCATTATAAAGTTCAGCTTTCAAATAGCACTCCATCCCCGCGTGCCTTCGTTATGTAATCTTGCTGTTCAGTTATCTAGCCTGGCTCTGCAAATTGTCCTGTGTTTTCCAGTTGTGTCCCTTCGATTGATTAACGAACTTGTTTTCCACGTTATTAAAAACACAACACTTTCGTCAATACATATAGTTATTTCAAGGAACATTGCTAGGCTGGCCTGGTGTGCGGATTATAGGCATAAGGCACTACCACTGGAGTAAAAGATACTCCTATTCCATAATCTAACGACATGTTGCCCAGTATTATATTGAACGACATCCCTATAATTCGATGTTATGTACTCGAGGATAATCTATATACTCATCTTAATCAGCTCAGTAATCCTGTTAATCACGTGACTCCCGTGTGGCCACCCCCACTCTGAACCCCGCCCACTCTGAGCTCCGCCCACTCTGAAAGCAGACACTGCTCCGCGTAGCAACGTCGAGGTCCTCATACAGCTCAGCCTCTTCCACAGCTCAGCCTCTTCATCTCTCCTGATCGCTCTCGTATGGCAATTAATTATTCCATCCTTTTCCTCACTTTCCAATGATGTCGCATCTCAGTTTAACAGGTAGTAGGCTTTCACGAACAATATTACCCATGAGAGGTTTCCTATGTTAGATCGCGTAAATATATAAATTTGTCGTCAAACGCGCCACCACCGGACAGCCAGTTGGAAAGGGTTGTCATGTAAACAATTGCCATGTTTGGTCTACGTAGTAAACTTTATTAATTGGCTATGCTGGGTTGTGGTGGGTTTAACGACACATTTAACCCATAAACCTCCATCGTGCATAGTTTCGCGTCTCCCCTATCCCCGTTACTTTTTCTGTACGTCTCCCCTCCCCGCGGTGCGCCACGGGTACAGATCTCTTAGTGAGGAGGACAAACTAAGGCAGGCGAGGTGGATGTGGCGTCGCTAAATCTAATTCACAGAGTAACCGTTTCGGACCTGAACCGACTGAAAGTGTTCGCTGGTTGTACCTTACGGCAGCGGTCCCCACAAACTTTTTGGCACCAGGGACCGGTTTCGTGGAAGACAATTTTTTTTTACGGAGCGGGGGGGGGGGGCGTGGGGGGTTCATCATTGGGTCTTTCCCCCTTTTCAAAGACGCTCACCGCTCTCACCTCCTCCTGCTGCTGCTGCTGTGCGGCCCGGTTCCTAACAGGTCACGGACCAGTACCGGTCCGCGGCCCAGCGGTTGGGGTCCGCGGCCCGGGGGTTGGGGACCCCTGCCCTACGGGATAGAGGACGCGAGAGACGAAACCACGGCGACCAGAGGCCACGAACAACGGGCACATCTTTCTGCGTTCACCAATTTACTCCCCCCATTCAAATGTAAAACTCAGTCGTTCCACACAGCTGCACGCGCCAGATGATTGTTAAAAGCACTCCCCACGTGACGCGCTCAGCAATTAACGCAAACCCTGCGCACGTGCACCACGTGGAACAAGGCGCACGTGGAACACGTGTTGCACGCACACAGATCTCAATTTTAATTTGAAGCGGCTGGAGAAAGGAGGCAATGGAACTCAAATCGGGAAAGCTAGAGGGGCAATTTGTCCAGCAGTGGATAGTTCTAGGCTGACAACAGCAGAATCAACGATAGCGCGACGTTCACATTCCCTAGCTGGGTTTCTATACCTCTTCTTCTTCTGCTGGAGTGAACTTGCATGGATTTCCTCCCCCCCCCCACTCACCCACCAAAGCCAGAGAGCGATTAAATCACAAATCGCCCGCGGAGACAAAGGCGGACGCGGAGAGCGTGCCGTGATTGAAGCGGACACGCATTATAATCAGTGTGCATTGTCCCACACCTGCGGTGAACGCCACCCCCTCAACGCCACCCCCCCCCCCCCCCCCCCCCCCCCCCACTAATTAGTGCTATTGTGCGTCCCGGCACCCATCACTGACCGCCACTGCTGCTGCTTCGCTGTGTCGGAGAAGGAAACCCGCGGGTTTCAACAAAGCGCCCGGGGTAGGCTCGCGATGGTGATGGAGTGGGTAGGGGTTGGTTAATAGCATTCATTATACCGGCCTAACGTCCCTCCATGTCACTCAACCTCGTCTGCCCGCAGCATTAACAATGATGATGATGATGATTCGGCATCACACCAGCAGAGATGACGCGTTAAATTAAATCACGCAAATAAACAAACAGACGTACAAGCCGTCACACTTTTCTCAAGTGGGTGCTCACAACCGATCTTATAGGCAAAGTAACTCTCTTTATGATATGGGTCCCAGTTCACGTAAAATTGAGCCGTTAAACCCGTCACCATACAATGGTTCACTCAAAATCATATTTATGGGGACTGTGAAGAGACTAACAATAACAGGACGCTACATCTTCAAGTAGTAACTCTCCCATTAAATGGTTTAAAGTATTTCTCTACTCTACCCATCGGCCGCACAGCCTTCTGGGAGTGTGTGATATGTTGGACGGCATGTGCGCTAAACACGGGGGAATTGCTTCGAAAGTTGTATCATTTCCTGTAGATGTAGATGCCACTGGTTTTTATTATGTTCTGCAGATATAGATACCACCGCCACCATTGAACTTACGACTCTCCGTCCGAATAGGCAACTGGACATGTGGACAGGTTTGTTCGTTTTTCTGAAGGTTCGTAAGTCGAATGCTCGTAAATAGAGAAGTCCCTGTATTACATAACTCAATCATTAGCCTGTAAGATCGGCAGTTCAGTATCGCTTCAACACTGGACGACGGCTCTCCACAGTAGTACCGTATTCTCCCGATCATAAGACGCATTTATTTCCCAGCGTCCACGGTATGTATATGTATGTTGGACTTCTTTCGCACCGTACGTGGCCACAACTGACATTTTAACGCTCTAGTTTTCAGCTCTCCGGCGACGCGTTCCTACATTCCTACAAAACATACCGTTTTATTTTATTATGTTATCTTCTTATCAACATTAACCCAACGCACAAAGCGTTGGGGTGCGTCTTACTTTCCCACGCTATCGTGTGATCCAGAGAATTCGGTGAACGTGACTTGACAAGTCGTGTGGCCCCTTGTGTGTGGGGGGAGGTGGGTAGGCCCCTTGTGTGTGTGGGGGGAGATGGGTGGGGCCCTTGTGTGTGTGGGGGGAGGTGGGTGGGTTGGGTGGACATCACTGTAAAGGTTGCCCCGGGCGAGACGAGCGCTCAGCTTTGCCCAACAGGGGGCCACCTCGGCCCGGCTGGCGAAACACGGCGGTCGAAGAAGGTGGTGGGAGGCGGGAGGGGTGGGTGTGGCCCATTCCGTGCCACAGCAGTGAATGTTTGACAAACTTTGTTGGCTTGTTGTTATTGCTGCTCTGGAAACCCGCACATCGATGGTCGGATGCTCGTCGAAGCTGCCGCAAGGGCCCACTGCTCCGAAACCCCAAATCTCACAGAGCGATAACGAGAGAGCCCCCGTGCGGGAGTGGAAGCTGTG